ACTTTGCCCAGGACTTTCGTCTGCGCCATGCAGAGCACAGCGCGACTTCCGCCACCACGGCTTCCGTACGTACTGCGTGACGTGCGACACGCACACAGCACGACATCAACCATGAAGCTTCCGATTCATCACATCCGCTAATTGTGAGATGGTATCACGGTTGTTAAAAACGGTCTAAAATGTTGGCATCTGGGGTCAGCAATTATGCTACCGCTCGCGGTGGGTCGAGATTTTTTTCATGGATCAAAATTATGATGATAAATATCCATTTAGGATCTCTTTCCAGTTATCTAGTATACCAAAGAATTGGAGGTTGCTGAATTTGTATTCCATAGTTGTTAAAAATTGTATGAATAGGGATATTGTCTTCGAGACTACATTGTCGTCTATGGGGGTCATATATTTATTCTGAATATCAAGTTTTATTTTTGTGCCAATCAATTGTTTTTTCATTATGACGAAGCATTTGGTAACAACTATTGCATTGGGGCCGATATAGCTATTATAGAGAATTTCCTCTTCCGTTATCTTAATTCGGACGCTTAATATACGGTTGAGTACGTTTATAATTTCGGCTATATAAGTTTTTGTTTTAAGGCAGTCCAGGAATATGTGTTTAGTGTTGTCGACAAGGCTTTTACAGAATTTGCACCCTAATATTTTCAAATTTCCGTACGTATCGAATCTAAGGGACATACTCCTCATACGGTCGCCGAAGATGTATCCATCTCTCACAATGCGATAAGAACAGATCCTTTCGGCGTTTGTGTAGTATGTTCTTGATGTGTTCTTCATCAGATGGACATCTTCCCAGTTGATGTTTTCCTGTTGTTGTTCTTGATGTCTGCTTTTTAGTTTTGAATATATATCCCTGTGCCTAATTGTCTCCCATTCTCCCGACGAAAAGTTGGTTGATTGATATATGCTCAAGATATCCCACCAGTATGCTGGAATTATTGCAGCGTGGGGCATTGAGTTTGTATAAAGATTTTGGTTAATCTGTTTAATTTTGGTTCCCAGTGAATATTGCGCTTCGAGGTGCCAGAATTGATCCAAGTTGACTCCATTAACCAGCGCCTTCATCTTCTCAACCCGGCATGCTTCTAGTTTGGCTTTTATATCTATCATGTTTATACCGCCCTCCTCTCGTGGTAGTTGGAGTTTTCTTCTGCTTATTGCCTCTATCTTGTTGGGATGCCACAAGAATTGAAAGAGAGCTCTGTTTATCTCCTTCATAGCAATTGGGGGGAGTGGTTTAACTTTGGCATGAAACATTACTATCGACATTAATAGCGAGTTTATAATGATTTGCTTACCAAACCATGTAAGATTTCGGAATTTAAGATAGTTTATAGTTCTGATTAGTTTTAGCTGTATTTCTTCCCATGTTTTATATAGAGGTTTTTGACCAAAATTCATTCCAAGTACTTTTACGTCCTTCTTAATATATCGTCTGTAGGGAGATTGAAAGATCGAATTATATGATGATTGGGTAATACACAAAATTTGGGTTTTTTCTTTGTTAATTTTTTGTCCTGAAGCTAGTTCGAAATTGTGAAGTTCGTGGAAAATTTCAGTAATGGATGGTTGGTTCGAAACAGTAAAGGTTACGTCATCTGCATATTGATCGAGTTTGTGCTCCTGTTTTGCCAGTTTTATACCGCGTATGTTTTGGTTGATTTGAACCGACCTGGCTAGCGGTTCCACGCTAAGTGCATACAGGAGCATGCTTAAAGGGCAGCCCTGTTTTATTCCGCGTCCAATCCTAATTTCCTGAGTCAATTTCCCGTTTACATCAATACAGCTTTTATTTTCTAGATACATGTTTTTAATAACGTTCAGAAACCGGTTTCCGATCCCTATTTTGTCCAAAATGCCGAAAAGAAAGTTGTGATCAACATTGTCGAAAGCCTTTAAATTGTCGATGAGTACCATCGTTGCGGGTATATTTTTGGATTTACAGAACCGAATTATTGCGTCCGTGTTATAATGGACGTCTGACATGTCCCTATGTGGTAGAGAACATTTTTGCGACGAACTAATGATGTGAGCTAGAGCTGGTTCCAGTCTTTTGACGAGTATTTTTGATATGATTTTATAGTCCATATTGAGTGTAGTTATTGGGCGCCAATTTTTTAATTCTGTTTCTTCACCTTTTTTGTATATTAATTTAACTTTGGCCAATTTAGAGGATTTGGGGAAATGTCCGAATGTCATAATATTATTAACTAACTGCGTAAACTGTGGTTTGATCGTGTCCCAGAAAGTTATGTAGAATTCTCTACTCAAACCATCCATGCCTGGCGACTTATTATTTTTCATATATTTTAAAGCGTTATAAATTTCTTCTGAGGTTACGCGTTGTTCTATGACGGATTTCTCTAGCTCTGGTATTATACTGGAGCTCATAAGGTCGAGATAATGATCTTGATTTCTTTTTTCGGTTTCTGATCCGATTCCCCATAGCCTCGCATAGAAATCTTCTATGGTTGCTAAAACTCCCTTTTCACTCGTGACTAAACAATCATTACGGTCTTTAACGCTTTCAATGGTGGTCTGTTTCACCCTCTTTCTGATCCGTTCGTAAAACGTTCGGGTGGGTTTTTCGCCGTCTTCCAGATTTTTCATTCTAGCCATCACCACATCTAAGCTCTTCCGTTCGTCTAGTATGACATTCAGTTCTACTTTCAAGTTTTGGATCGTAAGTGCGTTTTCTTTAATTCCTTCATTTATGAGTTTATTCAATTTTTGGCGCAGTTTGAAAGTATTGTTCTTTTTGGTTTTAGCTAGGTTTTTTGAATAGGCGACTGTGACTTTCTTTATTTTTTGTTTGGTACTATCCCACCAGTCCAATATCGAAACGTTATTTTCTAGATCGAGAAGAGCCAAATTATATGAATGTCTTACAACTTCGATATAGGTCTTATCCTCGTAGAGTATGGTGTTATTTCGCCAGGTTCCTTTTCCCCACCGGATTTTCTTTGCTTGCTTGAGCTTAATCTGCGGGCATAACAGGTGGTCTGATATTGTGTTTATCGTATGAGTAATGGTTGAGATAGTACTATATAAGTCAAAGGAAGAGTATATTCTATCGATTCTACGTCTCTGGGTGCCAGATTGATAGGTATAAATTTGTTTATTGGGGAATTTGTCTCTATAGGTGTCCAAGATATTGTTGATTTGTAAAAAGCGACAGAAGATTTTTTCAGGCGGTCGTAGTTTGAAATTTTTGGTATCATACACATCAATGGGTTCTAGTACCATATTAAAGTCTCCGGCTATTATTATATTTCCCGTGTCACAGTAATTGGTCAGAATATACACAAGGTTTTCATAAAATTCGGTTTTTTGGGGTCCGTTCTGCGCCGGTTTCTTGCTACTTTCCAAAATAGACTTGACATTTATTTCAATTTCAGATAGTTTCAGGCGTAAAGAATTCGAAGGTGCAGTTTATTTCGAAATTTGCTTTCAATCAAAGCTCTAACATCTTTTCACGACCCACTAAGATTCCTTTCAGTTTGGGAACTGCTGACCTAGTGTGATCCCGATTGCTCGCCATAGACACTTCACCGAAAATATTAATTAAAATATAATTCCCCGATCTTCTTGATCTTAATTGGACATGAAGTGTACATATGGATCGTTTTGTTATTATGTTGCTGTTTTTCTGGTAAAAAAATATTTTTCCTCATTACCTCTCGGAGGAATTGCTTTGAAATTTCCAGTGGTTAAAGATCGTTTTTTTGGCAAAAAGTCTATGACTTTCATTTCTTTCAAATATTTCTGCTGGCTTTTTAGTTTTTGTGTGCGATGACATCATCAAAATTAAAAACTACTCCACTTTCTCACAATTTCAGAATCTACTGGTGTTCTAGGTATGAAAAACTTTTTATAAAACTTTAGGCCATTAATCTATTTTGAATCCAACTCAAGGACATTTAAAATAGTCGATTCTAGCCAATATAAAAATGAGTTTACTGAACTGCCAACTCCACAGCCTGATATCAATTCCACTTTTTCCAAACAATAATGACATGTGCCAAACAGCAATTTCACTAACACAGTATATTTTATCAAGTTCAGTAAATTAGTCAATATGAATATACTACAATAATGAAATTTTTGCGAATATTGAATAAAATCATATTTTATTCATTACAGAACTTATTGTCTGTTAATCAGGAATTGAAATCAATAAATAATGATAATATTTCATCGCTCATTAGTTGCAAAGAAATTCACAAAGATTTCTCAAAATCATCTTTATTTTCAGTATAGAAATATCAGAAGTTGAATAATTGTTCTCAGCCTAGAAGGCCACAATAAGTCTGTTATGACGTTAGAAAGATGATGTTACAAAATGACCCTCACCTCGAAAATACTGATAATGCATTGGACAACAGTGATCAGCAGTGAGGTCATTACTAAGGCATGGTTGAATGAACACTACTCCTAAACCTATAAGTTTTGTACTTTCTTTTATTTGTAATAAAAGATTTGCAAAAATTTGATATTGAATGGACTGAACCCAATTTGTGTAATAGGGGCCATGTAATAAAAGCTTTATCGCCACTAACCTATTGACAAAAACAAAATTTTTTTTGATAAGTTACTTCAAAAATAAAAAGCATGAATAATATTTAACACATTTAAAAAGGCATATCTTCGAACTAGATATATCTAAAAAGCAGTTAAATGATAAAAGTTAAAAAATACAGTGATTTCGAAGGAATGAGCATTTAATATAAATATCCTACACAGGATCAAAAAGATAAAAAACTTGAATTATTGTATGGAACTAGAATCAGATAGGCCCCATCAAAAACAATTAATGCGAGTTAATGAGAAAGATAACAACCCATACCAACCGTAAAAAAATAATATGGGGTAAGCCCATGTCATATGACATATCACAAAACTGAATATAATGATAATAAATGATACATTTTCAAGAATTAGAGATTAAATTGTTGACCATAACAAATGCAATGATAAAAAAATAAACACTACCGATATGAAATTAATTTTCACTGGTCACTTCCAAATAAAATAGGTAATGATTACCTAACCAAACAATTAAATTATCAATATTGATATTGGCTATCTGTAAAGAGAATCTATTCAAGCTATATCTTCAAACATTCTGTAGCTTCGTTCTTAAGCAAACAATAATCAAATAAACCTTTTGGTTAAATAAATTATTCAACCTAAATATTACCATACGAATGATTCATATACTAGTTTCATCATTATGCAAAAAATTAATTTGAGAGTACATCAGAAAGACTGATAAGTATCTGTTCATTGAGAATATGAGAACTATATTTGTGAAGTATAAGAGTAATTGATGTTACATAGATATTGCAACAGTTGCCAGTGGAGTTATACTTTTTCCTTGTATTGTTTCAATGATTTTCCATTCTTTTGTTTCAGGATCATATTCCACTATATTTGCAGAATTTCCATTTCCCCCAATGACATAAACTTTCTCATCAATCACACAACTACTGAAATATTGTCTTTTCAGATAAATAACATTTTTCATTAGTTTCAACATCATCCAGGTTTTAGTTACAGATGAACGAAATTCAACACTATTAGTAGTTTTATCATTAACATTATAACCTCCCATAACATATATTCCTTCCCCTGTTGCTGTTGCAGTAGCACAATATCTTACTCCATTCAATCTATTATCCATTTGTTTCAACATTTTCATGGGATAGCATTGCTTTAAAATAATCGGAACTTGCCGACACAATATTCTTATGAACAGGAAGTTCCTCAGATCCAGCTTTGATCATGAAATCACAATGACGTCCAGTTTTACGATATTCATTTAATTGTTGTAAAATTTCAAAGACCTTATACAATAGAAAAAAATAATTAATTTAAAGATACGATTATTAATTAGACATTACAGTCAATCAAAAATAAACCTATATATTACAAAAAAAAAAGTTTTCATCACCAAGTACAACTTAAATATACCAGAATTACTTGAACTGAGCAAAACAGAAAAACTTAAAATTTGTTCAACCAACTGTTGAATTGGCAACATAACAGATAAACGTTGCTGTAGCAAGAACATCAAATACACCTATCAAGTCCATATGACTGAAAATACAATTATCTTGTGGAGTGTAAAATGCAAGTACCGGTATCATGTAATAATAATAGTTTAATTTGGTTTGTTCTCGAGATGTTTTCGAAGCCTAAAAACCTGAACTGACCCTCCAACATAGTTTTATTATCTATTCATTCATATATATTGCAGTATAATGCGCCTATCCAAATGCTAGCTCATGATAGTATATGTTTCATTCTAATTCTGTTATTTCATATTTGAGTACTGATATCATACTCAATATGGGCATGTTAAACAACTAATGTTTAATGGAATTCATTTCGTCATTAGCCTGTCTGAACCTGTTCTTTATCATCTTTTTTCTCCAGTCCACCACAGATGATAGATGATTATAATTTCAATTAGGTTTAGTTGGATAACAGGCCCACCATTAAATCTCCCAGCGACTTCACTTCCCAGTCTGCCAGTAAAATTATATTATTTACTCTTTCGCATGTTTTTAGCATTTGTGTCTGTTGAATATATTACTGGTTGGAAAAAATCAACTTGACTGTGACTTTTTTTTTCTCGTCAAATAAATTCCAATGTCAAACTGAATTTTCATATTAAAGCTAAGATCTGAAGCCTGAGTCAACCCAAAATTCGGGCCTGGTCAGGCCTGAAATGTCAATCCTTAAGTTTGGGTCGGGCTTTTCTATCGATGACTCTTTTTGAATGAGGCGTTTCGGCCGTGTTTTGGCCACGAGAGATTGTGGTTTGCAAAAAAACAGAAGTTGCCTCATTAACTCTTACAATGACAATTCGATGAACTGAATAAAATGGGAACTTTCGGGTTTGCTTCGGGCCTGCAAATCCAGTTAATTAGTCCGCCTGGGTCGGGTTTAATACCCACGGGCCTGGGTCGGGCCGGAATTTTTGCCTCAATCTTACCTCTATTTCGTATAAAGATTTTACTGTCGATTTAGTATAAGTTGCCCCAAATTAAACAGTTTTATAATTTCAAACACATTTCCTACATGTTCAAATAATATATGTAACAAATGAGTTAATCCATCTTATCATAAGAGATGTCATCGAATTTGTGCACACATTTAATATATATTTACCCCTAATTAATCGAATTAGTTAATTTTTGCATAGAAATTAGAAAATGAGACAGAAAACATCCAAAGTGGGTGTTTTGACATTTTCTATTCACTATCTATCACTTGACTCAATATTCTCAATATCTCAAATATTTCCCACAAACACAACACCTTCTTTTATTTTTCTCACCAAATAAATTCCAATGCCAAACGGAACACTTTCACAATTTCAAACGTGTGCAGCATTTTTGAATTACTCAGGATAGTTATCTTCACTCACCCTACAGCATCCTCGCATTATATGCATACGGATCCATCAACGCAAAACCATAGAAAACGGAAAAGTAGTTGATCTTGTAGAAACCCAATCGATAGCACAAGTTAACATTCCCAACAAGTTCTAATAATATATGTAACAATTAAAATATAAAACCATACCATCACCGGAGTTTTGTATCATATATAATACAATATATGTCAATTGAAAATAAGTTAATCCATATTATCATACAGTTGTCAACATTTTATATACATTTACCAATAATTGATCGATTTCAACAAAGTGGGTGTTTTGGCATTTTTCTATTCACTATTTACCGTATCTATGAATTGAATCAAAATGATGCATAAATTTGGACATTTGAATCCTCCTATATATTCATCAAAGCTGGTGTTGCATAAATCTATGTATGAGATCATCCATGCGTTCATACAATAATAAATCATTTCTTTCACTTGTTTTCAATAAATTTGACATTTCTATCAGTTAACATTTGAAAATTGAACGCATACCGGTAGTACTTCTACTTTTAACTATTTCATCATATTCTACTGAATTTTGATATTCCCAAATTGTTGATTTTTCGCATACTATTGTGATTCATTTGCTAAAATAGTATTTTGATTATATTCTATGCAACACCATTGCCAGAAATCAACAGCCCATTGACATTCCAAAAATAAACGGTCTTATTACTTACTGTGAATACAGCACGAAACAGAGGAAAACAGCCCGCAAAACAGAGGGAAACAGCGCAAAGCAGAAAAAAATTTACAATTAGTTGGGGCACATATTTATTTTTTTAGTTGGGGTACCACGGCAGCAAATTGAAAACACAAACCATAGCATGTATATGTAGGCTGTAATGGCAAGTCTGCCCCTGCTGGTGACACATTTTGGGTAATGCAATTTAGAACATTTTCCATATGGATACAGTTCTAATTGATTTGGCTTTAGGGTTAGATAAAAAACAAAGTAGATAAAATTTCACATGATGACCTAGAATCCGCTACATAACCTTGTAAAAATACCGGAGATAGCGCCATGAAACTATGGCGAGAGCCGATAGGCGCCGTTGTTCTTTCGTGGCAGGAGCCGTCATGAGGTGGTAATAACTGTGTCTCCTGTTTTGCGCTGGTTTCCTTCTGTTTCGCCTATTTTCCTCTGTTATGCGCCGTTTCCCTGTTTTGCGCTCTTTGGAGTGTTTTGTGCTGTATTCAGTACGGTAAGTAGTAAGACCCCAAAATTAATGACATAAAGTCTCTTCAATATTGCATTCACACATATACCAGGTCCATTGATGAATAAAAATAAACTTATACCGGTATATCCAGAATGCAGAAACAAAATACACCGTGTTGTATTTCCCACAACACAACACCTTCCTGTTGTCCTGAAACTGGGAATACCCTAACTATCTACCTCTGGTGTTGGATTGAGTGGCTCTTGGATACCATCCAGTGTGATCACGATTGCTCGACAATGACAGATCACCAAAAATATTAATTAAAATATAATTTCCCGATCTTCTAGATTATAATTAGACATGAAGTGTACATATGGATCGTTTTGTTATTATGTTGTTGTTAAAAAATATCTTTCCTCATTACCTACTGGAGGAATTGCTTTGAAATTTCCATTTGTTGGAGATTGTAGTTTTCGCTAAAAGTCTATTACTTTCATTTATTTCAAAAATTTCTATTGGCCCTTTAGGATTCAGTTTTTGTGTGCGATGACATCAAAATTATAAACTTCCCATTTCTTAAACTTTCTCACAATTCCAGAATCTACTGGTGTTCTAGGTATGAAAAGCTTTAATAAAACTTCAAGCCATTAATCTATTTTGAATCCAACCCGAGGACATTTGAAATACAGCTGTTTCTAGCCATATCAAAATGAGTGTAATAAACTCCACTGCCTGATATCAATTCCACTTTACGCCAAACAATAAAGACATGTGTTGTCTGCCTAAATCTTTATCAAAAATATGCATCAAATCATCTTCAACAATCTTTTGGGAAATTGTTCAGTGACGAATCAAGCATGTTATTAAGGCTGGCAGTAACTTTGCGACTATCAGAGAATATTTAATTTCTTTCCCAGCTGATCTAATTATGATATCAATATTGCAAATTTCAGCTGTGAAAAATTGCATAAATAATTATTACCAGTAAAAATTTGTCAGAAGATTACCTACAAGCATCAAAAGGAAAATTTATATTTCCTTCTAGTACCTTATATACATAAAGCAATAACAATGACAATTTCACTAACACAGTATATTTTATCAAGTTCAGTGAATTAGTCAATATGAACAACTACAATAATAAAATTTTCAAGAATATTCAATGAAATTATATTTCCTTATTACAGAACTTATTGTCTGTTAATCAGGAATTGAAATCAATAAATAATAATAATATTTCATGGCTCCTTAGTTGCAAAGAAATTCACAAAAATTTCTCAAAATCATCATCATTTTCAGAATAGAAATATCAGAAGTCGAATAATTGTTCTCAGCCTAGAAGGCCAAAACAAGTTTGTTATGACGATATACAGATGATGGTATGAAATGAGCCTCACCTCAAAAAGATACAAAATTATAATATTGCATTGGACAACAATGATCCGCACGCAGTATGGTCATTACTAAGTCATGTTTGAATAAACACTACTTCTCCTGAACCTAAAAGTTTTGTATTTTCTTTAATTTGTAATAATAGATTTGCAAAAATTTGATATTGTATGGACAGAAACCAATTTCTGCAATAGGGCCATAAACCTAAATATTTCATTTACAAAATCACCATTTTTTGATCAGTTATTTTTAAAAATAAAAAGCATGAATAACATTAACACATTTAAAAAGGCATATCTTCAAACTAGTTATATCAAAAAAACAGTGAAATTATAATATTTAAAAAATACAGCATAAAGTATAAATACAGTATATGTATAAAATCAGAAAGGCCCAATCATAAACAATTAATGTGAGTTAACGAGAAAGATATGATAACAACCCATACCATACCAACCACAAAAAATAATATGGGGTAAGCCCCTGTAATCTGACATGTCACAAAATTGAATAAAATTGTTGATCATAATAATTGCAATGATATAAAAAAATAATAATGAATCAACAGTACTGATATGAAAGTAATTTTCACCTGTCACTCAACCAAGCAATCGAATTATCAATATTGATATTGGCTATCTGTAAAGAGAAAATATTTAAGCTATATCTTAGAACAGTGGTT